AAAACTTTATCATTAAACAAAAAGAGTTTGGAAAAACACATAAAATATCCTATGAACAAATGGATTCATTAAGTGCTGAAAACTCAGAACGATTTAAAGATGAACAGTCAACATCATGTAGCCGCGATGGCGTTGCCGGCAATGGTGCATTAATGCGTTTAGCCCCGATACCGTTGTTTTTCTATCGTTCTCCCTCTCATGCTATTCGTTATGCAGGCGAATCAGCTATTCTCACTCATGGAGACGATCGTGCCAGAGATGCTTGTCGTTATTATGCTGCATTAATAGTCGGTGCACTACGGGGCTTTTCAAAACCTGATTTATTAGACAACAACTTTTATCTCGGTCGTAAGAACGAAAAGTGGTTTGGTGAGGGTGACGAAGCTGAATTACATTCAGACATTCAAAAGATAGCTAAAGGTTCATTTAAAAAAGAAGGCGGCTACGCAGATGGTATTCGAGGGAAACAGTATATTGTTCCAGCGTTAGAAGCTGCACTATGGGCCTTTTGGTGCGATGCTGGTTCCTTTGAGAAAGGTGCATTACAAGCGGTTAATTTGGGAGATGACACAAGTACAACTGCTGCTATTTACGGTCAGCTAGCTGGAGCATATTACGGCATACATGCACTTCCAGATAAATGGTCCGAACAAGTATATGCCAGAGACTTCATATTATGTTTAAGTATTTGGTTAAAGCATGAAGGATACAAATGGCACGAACTTTGTGAAATGAATAAGTCGAAATAGCATGGGTAGCATCACGCTAAAAGGTACCACGGTACATTATTTTGCTTATGCCAATATTTATTATAAACTCAAGATAGACTTCTCGTCTTTTGATCTTGTTGCCAAAGTTTATAATCAAACTCGGACCGATATTTGATTTTCCGAAAATAAGGTTGCTTTGCATGTGCTCGCTCAAACAAAATTTTCAGTTTCTGGTGAAACAGTTTTTTCTAAATTTTTTGCTTATGAAAATATAGCTTCAGATCTTGACTGCCGAATGATGAAAACCGCAAGTCTCTATCTTTTATTCCTTTTGAGTTATTCAAAAAATAGTAGCCGGCCTTCTATTTTGGCACCGGTAGTAATGCAACAAATATCAAATAGAAAGAAAAACGAACGGAGTATTTACTCAGTAGAAATTACTAGTCCTGCGCTCGAAGACTGTTGAGAAGAAAGAGAAAATCAAACTAACTTTCTTAATCTGAAATATGAAAACGTTCGTTCTACTAAGGTCAGCAAATTCGTTTTCGACAAAGTGGTGATTTTTTCAGACGAAAAACAGTTTTTTTTCTCAACTTTGGCCGACAATGCAAAAACGGAGCAGATTTTATTTTATTTATATTTATACATCTTTTGATAGAATTTGATGTGCTGAGCACGAATATGTGCTTTTTAATTTTCGGGACAATGTTTTAAGCGTGAAAAATTGGAAAAACCAGAAGGGTGTACAAAATTGAAAAAAAACGCTCATTTGAGAAAAATTTAAATTTTTGTCCTTTTTGTTGCGGAAATTTTTTCAACGATTTTTTTCTGATTCACCATCAAAAACTGAGTATGAGAGTGATCTTTGATTGATTTTGAAGTTAAGGGTCTGCCCGGTACGGCTCTGACGAACGCCTCTACTAGGATATGCTAGTATGCAACTTTGCAAATCTATCTAGTTTTTTGTACGAAGAGATAAAGCCAAGTGGCGTACACCATTAGAACCGCTGATAAACAAGGTGTTGTGACAAGAAGATAAGAAATAACAATACAAAGTTCAGACAACCACCACTATCTGATAACCTACTCATCGCTCAGAATTAGCTCTAGTTCTTCGATAATCTTGGCAGCGGCAGATTATCAATATTACGGATTGCCAGTAAACCCAATAACGACAAATTTTCTCTCTACAGCATTCAGTTTTGATTAGAATAAGGACTATGTTTTTGTATGTATGTATTTTTCTCGTAGTAAATATTCCCCACACATTTCTTGATCTAGACGATCTAGACGAAGACCAAGCTTTTATGATGAATGGAGGATGGACAAAAATTGTTTTAATAATAGTCCCTTGTTCAAAAACTTAACAATATATTTTTTAAGTAATCAATTTTTTCCTCAGCTAAATAATACCAGTAAACCCAGAAAACTTCAGAACATATAACTCGAAGTATCCGGTCTATAGACTAATGTTAAAAAGAAAAATGTTAAACGACTAATATTAAATATCAGTTAAATATTTTTCCATCTTATCTAAATATTAGTCCGTTCTATATTTTTCTTTACTCAAATATTTTTCCTTTATTTTAAAATAATTAAATATTTTTCTGTCCGACCAAAAACTGCTGTACTGCTGTGCATTCTGCACTATCCGTTTCTTCCTTTTATCTCTAGCCGACGAACGTTGAAATAAATAAAGACATTTTATAAATAAAACATGAAATTCAGGATAATCGCTGCTACAACAATTTCAATCGTTCTGAAGCTTTTACCTCTATAACACTTCTCTTTTCCGTATCGCTGCTGTACGAGATGAATTTAGTTCAGTTGATGATAGACTAGGGAAGGAAAATACAGAATTCTTTCTGTTCGACTTCCAAACAATATATCCAAAAATTCCGTTCCCAAATTCCAAAAAATTCACCATTGCCAAAAATATACTCAGGTTTTCACGTTCGTTTCACCCATGTTGTCGGAAATTGTTTTAAGTCATCTGGCAAAGAAGAAAACTTAGTGATCCTATAAGTTTTCACAACGAAAAACCACTACTTTACTTGAAAAGCTTTCTTCAAGAAAAATCAAGCTAACGAAATCTCGGTGACATGTTCAAAAAGAGCACACTGTAATCCATATACGCACGTGATTCCTTCCTTGTTTTTTCATAAGCGCAAAAAATGAATGGTAAGACGCAGTATTCAACTAGTCCTACAATTTTTCACAGTATTATGGATCATACCGAAACTACGATTGGAGAAATGATAAGAACGAATCGTATTATAGGTAGCTCATAAAAATAATCTTAATGTGGATTGATAATCTATCTACACCGACGGTTTTCTCAGTTTGAGAATGTTCTGCAATCATGTGCAATCCGCAGAATATATAAATTCAATTCAGTAACAATTCTAGTATCTTTCGGCCGATGAGATAATTATCTGCCAGTTTGTGTTCTCCCTTCTTTTATTCAACTTAAGTATACAGAGGAGGCACAAATGCATCGTGTGGCAACCGCTATACTTCTTCCGATATACTTCTCAGACTAGTACTCAGTGTTGTACTATCCCATTTGACTTGTAGGTGAAATGCATTTTATTGCTACAGAGATAATCAGTGAGTTTTAAGTTTAAATTTGTTTTGTCATAGATGTGAAAGACAGTGGAGATAGACAAAAAGTTTAAACAAGTGAAACTTTGACGAAGCCTAACCGAATATAAGAAAAAAGGAAAAAAATAACAATAAGAGTAAGAACTTAAGTGTAATTGCGGCTGTGTAATAGCCGCAATTACACTTAAGTTCTTATTTTTATTGTTGCCCTTTAATAGTAACAATGTTATTAACAATAAGAGTAAGTTTTGGCTTATAAGTCATACTGAAGTGTTCTACATTAAGTCACACTAAATAGATACTCACACAACGCGCGACGGAATGA